TCGTGCGTGCTTATAAGCTAGTATTATAATATACTATTGTTTTAAAAAAAGCTTTGTATAAATTTTATAACTACATTTCGACTCTCTCAACGAAAACTATAGTAACTGATAAAAAATGTTTTTTGAGTACGATGGCTTATGTAGGGCCCAAAATACAAAAACAATGAGAAAAAATTTCTTTGAATAAACAATATTATTACCAAAATTTAGACCCTTAGCAATTTTCAATAATACTAAACAGTTCCTTGATTTTTTATTAACAAACAAAGATTCAATGCAATTTTTCTCAAAACTGTAATTTTTGAGTTACTACAGTTTTGGTTAGGAGAGTCAATACGTTTATTTTTAAAGAAAACCTTGTATAAATTTTATAACTACAAATGTGTATGCAGTGCAGTCATCATTTTAGAGGCCTCATTTTTCAATCAAAGAATTGATTTCGAAATATTATTCTTCTCACGCTCTTCGACACTTAAGTATTAACATCAATTACTGGCTATTATTATTATTTACTAGTTTTCTAGCCTTATTTCTTTCGCAACACTTTTTAAATATTGAGGACTAAAAAAGCCTTAATATTATGAAATTAACAAAAATTGATACGTACTTTTAATTTTGGAAATGTGCTTTAGTTATTAGGGTGTTAAGTTCTTTTGCGTCGCATAATAGTGAAGGGAAAACTACTACTTTTATGTACAAGTTTTATAATTATTTAATTTATCAAGTTTTAAGTAGAATTAACGTAAAAAATTGTTCTTTTTTACTCCTAAGACCTAAGAGTCCTAAGAGATGTAATAGTAGTAAATTACAAACTTCTCTCGGACCTTGTATTTTATTTGTGTAAATTTTCTAAGAATCTTTAAATGTTATAAAAATAGTTTGTTACTTTGCTTTTTTTAATAGATCTTTGATACATTATTGAAACTAAGTAATATACTATAACATAATAATATTTCTAATTACTTTCAGCGTTGTTGTTTGGTTTTAGAATGGCACAATGAGTAGAAAAAAAGAAAAAGTCCAGTGGTGCAAAAACGCATCGTTTTATGAATAGATGTAATAAATAAATTATGTACATAGTATAATCAATTTCACAGGAGGTCTGGCAGTATTTCAAATAACTCCTTCCAGCTATGCGGCACGTTTTCCATCACATACTCCACTTCAAAGTGTATGGTGCATGTGCACGACATCTTTTTGTCCTATTATTTATCTTCTCGTACCTTGCAATCACGAATTGTTCAAACGATAAAAAAGAAATGTGCTTGCTTTAGCTCACAGAAATCCGCCTGTTTCAGACAAGGAGTAGTGCGGACTGACAAGAAATACTGCCAAACGACACGACATTGCCGCGAGTCTTGTTGGAGAAACGCGAGACCTACTTGCGGCTCAGATGGGAAGATTTATGCGAACGTTTGTCGAATGAAGTCGAAGAATTGCGGGTAAAACGTATGAATTGTTCAGTCATTCAATGTTCAAATGGACGCTTCATTACAGAAAACATGTATTCGAGGTCCCTATGGCGTACTGCGCTAGTCAAGAAAGGACATCGCACAGCATCGGATGTCCTCTAGGATGCGGCAATGAAATCGAAAAGCCGATCTGCGGCTCCGATGGTTATGTTTATCGACACGAATGCGAGATGAAATTGCTCAATTGCGGGTTAGTTTCTTCACTAATTAATGGAAAAATGGGGTTTTTGATTTAAATTTTGGTACATTTAGATCGAATAGGAGGGTGACGAAAGTCGATTTCGAGAAGTGTAAAAGCAAGTTGACGAAATGCCTCAAGATGAAGTGCCCCAACGACGTCGACCCCGTTTGTGGCACAGACGCCCGGACTTACACTAATCAATGTCAATTAAATTTGGCCACGTGTTTGAAAGGGGTTCAGTTTGCTCACGTCGGAAATTGTACAGCGTTGAAGGAACAAGTTCCATGCCCCACAAATTGTGATAATGAGAATGAAGAACCAGTCTGTGGATCTGATGGCAATGTTTACAAGTGAGTGGCGAAATAAAACTTGATTTACTAAAATTAAGAGCATCGCTCTTGTTTGTACTTTGACTGTCAGAAAACTAGTCTCAACAAGATGAATTATTATTTCCTCTTTTCGTTTCTTTGAGAAAATTGTTGTCCATAAAAGAATTAAAGCGTCCGACTAGACTTTAATTTACGTTCCTGATAAGTGTGCCACCTTCTTTGGAACTGAATCAGATCTGTAATTAATCTAGACGTACCTAAGATTTTCTCAAAGAAGGCTAATGACAATTAAGTTCATTTAACAGAAATTAAACTCCTAAGAAAATATGAGGAAAAATTATTTAATTAATGCGACAGAAATTAGATTATTTCAAAATTTTATTTTGAACTAAAATGTTAGATATATAAATTTAGATTCTGCAGCTGCTATTTGTGACAATTAAAATGTGGGTCAATTCACTTCTGCTATTATTTTTCAATGTATAAAAGCAGAAAAGAGATTTTCCTTATTGATGTTTGATTGATTTAGCCTACTTTTAATTGGAGTCAATCTTTATATGAATTAATTGGTGATATTCGGGCATATGATTAAAAATTTCAGTTGTAAAATTCTTTACAATGCAAAAAATTACATGTGTGCATTTTACGTTATTCCATTAAACGTAATCGGACATGTAATAAGCCGTTTGTTGTTTTCAGTTTCAATAAATATTTTATATTGTTTTTGGTACAAGTGAAAATTTGTTTCAAAAAATGTATAAACTGGGTGATAAATAGTTGATGTTTTAATGTTAGCCATTTTTATTAATTGTTTATTTTATTTTTTTTTGCAATCTGTAGGTATATTTAAAACTACTTTCGTAATGAATGTTATACAGGCAGCCTCAACTAAAATTCTCTAAAATCTCCGATTTCGTCCAAAGGGAAATATGCTGAAACAGGTCAATTTTAACTTAAGGAGGGACCAAATTTTATCAGAGTTTCAAAGTTAAGTCAATTTAAGTTATGCATCCATCTAGCGCCCAGAGCTCAGATCGACCCCTTCAAAAAATTTAAACAGCGAGAGAGGTTGAGTGACACATCATTTGCAGTTGCAGTTTCAGATGAAAAAAAAAAACAACTTAAGGAAAACCAATTTATGGAATATCTATACAGATCGACTGATCTCTTCGACCCCTCTTGGTATTTAAATTTTTTGTTAAAATTGACCTGTTTTACCATTTTTTCGAAACTTTGACGCAAATTTTAGCTGGAACATCCTGTATGTAAATAGAGATTTAAATTGAGAGATAATATTAGTCAAAAAAATTGATCTTATTCCTATTTTAATTTCCTTTTAGGATTCCATGAACCGAAAAGTGTTTTAATTATTGACTCGTTTGTTAATCAGTGTCAGAGATTAACAATCCCTTGATTTTGCAGAAGGTGGTTTGCTAAATCTAAATTATCTAAAATATAAAACCTTTCCGCCAACTTTTTGGCGATTCATAATGTTAAATAAGGAGCTCTTTCGCTGCTTTCAATGTTTTAAATTACTAATTTATCTAATTAAATTTAATTGGCATCTAATAAATTTTGATAGCTAATAATTCGAAATCTGTATCAAAAAAATATTGAATACCTATGTATAGTTGATATTAATTATCCGTTATAATTTATATTTTTATTATTATTTTTACGAAAAAAATATCTAAAATATTCTACAGATGAAACCGTTACACTGTAATACAACATCTGAATCTGTATAAAAGAATAGGTAAACTTATTTCATATTAATATTCACAAGAGTAACAACTGTCATTACGAACAGGTATTGTGTGCAAAAGCACACATTAAACAGACATATATAGCGTGACAACTTGTGGACATTAACTATAAACAAGCTACAATGTGCTAAAGTTGAATAAGTAGTTCTTTCAGTAGAAGACTGAATAAGCATAACATTTAATATTTCATCAAACAAAAGAATTTATTGTTTTTTTGAATTGTAGGTCAATGTGCCATTTGAGGAAGGAGACCTGTGGACAGCTAGTTACTGAAGTGCCTTTGCACCACTGTCGCACCACAGCCTTGTGCAACGAAAAATGCCCCGAAGACAAAAATTTTGTTTGTGCTTCAGATAACAAAATCTACAGGAGTGAATGTGAAATGAAGCGAGATAACTGCGGGTAAGTGGACGACGACAGTTTAAATAAATGTAACCAAGTGTTGATAATTTTGCAGTAAACATATATTTGTCGTGCCAATGAAAAGATGTCTATCTGGATTCCTGTTTAGAGGATGTCAAAAAATCTGCCCGACTTATTATGATCCTGTATGTGGCACCGACAACATGACATACAGCAACACCTGCTTCTTGGAAATCGAAAATTGTAGATCTAGATCACTTGTTACCATGAAACATATGGGAACGTGTGCTGAGCCAATTAACGAGATACCGAAAAATTATTTGTACTGATCTACTTTTTGTTCTTGTTGTTTTTAGGTTCAATAAATTTTTTGGATTGTTAGAAATTACTTTAGGAAATTTATGTAAGTGTGGAGATTAGTTAGAATTTATTTATGAATTTCTTGCCTGTGTAAAAATACATACCTATCTTTGTAATATTTTACTGTTAGGTATTACAACTAGCGCATCTTGCGGTTTTATTTATTTATTTAAGATTATTAAAATTGTGCCAATTGCCAATTTAGTATAGAAATACTTTTTTATTACTGCTCAATACTCCTGCCTAAAATATTAATGTATTTATTATGGTCCGTAAATGTAGCTGAGCTGTGTTTTGTATTTATTTTAAATGATATATGCATTTTACAAATGTAGAAATAATAAAATTAGAAAAATTTACTTACATATTACTTTTTTCTTTCTGCCTATTCTTTTTTTAGTAGTTACAAAATAAAAAAAATATATACTTAGACAACCCAATAAACAAGATTGTACAGAATTTGTATATAAAATTATGTTTAGTAAGTAATTGTCAAGTTGTAAAGTGTTCTGCATTACCTACATGTCAATGTCACAGTGGTGGTTATTTTATATAACCTCAAATTTTTTACCCCAAAGAATCTAAATCATGTTTTCTAAACAGATTATTTCAACTTTTCAAAAGTTAATAAGTGCCCAAAACAATATTATTACAAATCATACTGTTCGTTCATTGTTTCTTACCAGCCAAAAACAAAGAGATGTTATTGACAGAAGAGAAATGCTTCGTTCTGTTCCAAAATTAGACGAGGGAAGTGCAGGAGAAAAAGCCTTAGAAGTCGATTCATTAATTCAACAGTAATGTTTTTGATTTTTCTTTTTGTGAAAACAATTTTATTTTTTTAGAAAAACAGACATTTTCCCAGATGCAGATACTCCAAATCGACTTTTCAATGGTATTCCATTTAAGAACTTGCCTATAATGAATATAAGAGTATCATCAAATAACACCATAATTAGTATGACCGATGATAAGGGTAATTTTGAGGGTGTTTGAAATAGTTTGTGTAATTCTCAATCTTTAGGTGCTGTGAAACTGATTAGATCGTGTGGGGTAGAGGGCTTTAAAAATACAAGAAAAGGGACGAATATAGCGGCACAAGCTACAGCAATTACTATAGGAACAGTAAACGCAATTTTATATTTTATATTTTTTTATTTACCAAACAAGTATATTTCAGAAAGTTTTAGAAAGAGGAATAAAAACAGTTAGGGTGCGTGTCAGGGGTTTAGGACCTGGTAGAATGGTACTTAATTGTTTGTTTTAGTATTCATTTTTTAATTTTAATTTTTTTAGTCGGCGATTAAAGGTTTACAGATGTCTGGTCTAGAAATTATTTCAATTACAGACAGCACTCCAGTATCTTGGAACCCGCCAAGGCCAAGGAAGGCGAAAAAATTGTAATTTGAATTAGTTCATATTATTTGTTATGGGTTGCAAAAATAAAGTGTCCCCTCTTGTATCCGCAAGGCAGAAATAAAAAGGAAAAATCAATTATAATCAATTTATTTGGAATAATTATCAATAAAGCGTCATCTGGTGGTAGCATTGTGTGTTATGTTTTAACACCTGCCCGCGGCTTGTGTGAGACAGAAGATCAGCTGATTTGATAAGGATTGACAGGGATAGAATGCACGTGTGTAAACGCAAACGTAGCTTGCATTATGGCGTTTTTGACAGTTACATTTCGGGTGTATGTTTTTATTGAATATTAAGTGCACCATTCCATGAAAAGAAAAGGAAAGCACAGCCAGGAAATGGTTGGAATTGTAAGTGGATAGTTTTATTTATTATTCCTTGACGCATCGTTTAGTTTTCGTGCATTCTTTGCAAATGATTTGTTTTAAATTTATGGTTGCTTTTGGCAATCATTGCTATCTTTGCACTAATAATTTGTTGATTGATTTGGTGTGACCCAATTTATAAGTTATTTATAGACGCGGAGCGATGTATTGATTAATTAATCCATTTCTTATAGAATTTTTGGCATAATTTCATTAGAAACTTGATTTTGAACTAATTATTTAATGCTTGTGGAGGTCTTAAACGTATGTAAGAGGAATAATTAATTCAATAACAGTACCATAAAAGGTACTAAATGAGTAAATATTTGTTATGTATGATCTGACGAGAGTTGTTCAGTGTAGAATAATTTATTGCTCTGCTTCGAGTTTTATTTAACAATTAGGTATTCAGGTTTTTTATAGAGAAAAAGAGAATTTTTGTATTAAAATGCATTTGTCCAACTGCTATAATGATTATTTTGTATAAAAATTAAAACTGCAAAAAGATGTATATTCGAATAACTTTTGGCAGAATCACAGTGGTTGTTTTTGAGTGAGAGTTAAGGTTGCCTGTTAATTTTAATTTTTAATAAAAACTGATCACTTTTGGGTTCCTTACAAGCAGGGACTTAGCTTCTGTGTCAATTAAGCATTGATAATTATTTAAAATGAAAAAAAAAATGAATTTATGAATTAATGTAAGGCTGTCGTAAATTTTAAGTATTGTGATTGGGCCGTTTGAGATCGGCCATTAAAATAATGTAAGAAACCAATCACTTTAGATTTTTGGATTCATTCAAAAATTTAATGCAATGATATGATTGGCCCGTTTGAGGTCGGCCATCATAATATTGTGATAAACTAATCACTTTAGACTTTTGGATTCATTCAAAATGTAATTAATGCAAATGACTAATTTTAATTTGCATTCATTTATTGTTGTAATTTAAATTTTTACTGAAAATTTTGAAACTAATTAACGAAGGTGTCTTGGTAAATAAAATTAAAAATGAGTTCATTTTTTAAATATGTATTTTGTTTTATTCTCGTTCTGAAAAATTAAAATTACGTAAAATAGAACCTACATTGTCCTAGATTTAGGTTGTAGTGTAAGATGCATAGGTAGGTATTATTGATTATTGCACGAGCAGATAAAAAGACAATTTTATGGTTGGAACTAGGTATACAGAAGTTACAATCACTTCGATCCTTATTCGGAGCGGATTTTAAAACTTTTAAAGCCCCTTTTCTACTGACAATTCATTTTCGTACCTGTCACCGGAAATAAGTTGGTTACGTGAGATACAAAACTCTAAAAGTATGATGTAATTTACTAATTTGGACGGTTGATAAAGTGACGTGGTTCTTCATATTGATGATTGATAAAGTAGCGCCATTAACCTGCCAATCGGAAATGAATTAATAAATATTTCCCAGCAGGTGTGTTTGTTACTTGATTGTAGGGAAAAAATGCCATTTCCTGTACGAATAGTGTGATGCTATGCGGGTACCGGAGACATGATTGGAATCCGTTATTTTGGGGGATCTCTGTCATTTGCTGTATCTTCGCTATTTTTGCTCGAAAGAACTAATTTCTAATTACCTGTTATTTTGTCCAAATGTCCACACGACAGGAAAGAGATAGGGATTTAATTATATTGAGGGTGCGACTGCAACCCTTCATTAAAATTTCATATGACAGTATTGCCAATTTAATAAATTGCAAACATTACGTGTTATGAAATTTAATTATTAGTCACATTTATGGTACCGCAAAATCAAGCAAAATAAATACATTTGAATGTGTCGGTGACAAACTGTGGGAATGCAGAATTTGTGGTTTTATATTGCGATGGCTAATTAAACAATGTTTTTCATTCTATAATTAAAATAATTTCTGCTCAACTAGAGATACAATAATGTTGAAACCGACCATGAAATTACGAGTATAACGACAGTAGTTTATCGACTGAATCACATAGATACAAGTAAGATAATTTCGAGCACTTACTATAAAATGCGAGTTAAAATATAATTAAGTAGCTAAATATTTTTATTTAAAATTTCAGTTTAATAGTGAATTGTGCAGTGATAAAGTTGATTACCAAAATAATCCCAGCTATTGATGTGGGTAGACTAGAAAAGGCTGGCTTTCTGTCTTCCTGTAATAAGGATTTTTTGTTTACAAAAATAATAGTTTTTCATATGAAATCATTCTGTGGTTCACCATCATTAACATACAATTTTTGTTATCACTATTTAACTAAAAGATTTTGTTAATAATAAATAAATAAATTAAACGCAGAAACAAAATATTTCTTCTTGTGGTGTAAGCAAACCAACAGCCGATTTGCGAACCTATTCGAATTTTTGTCAATTTGTATTCAATTCAAACGTATTTGCCATAAATCTCTCAAATCCTTGGTTCATTCATTGATTGACAGAGATATTTGGATATCACTGAACTCGTATTAGAAATGTCAAAAGCTAAACATACAGACAGCTTTTCGAAAATCTTTTTACATGTTGAAAAGTAACGAATTTTTGATCAACGAATACTTTGATTGAAGTCGTATGTAGGTAATACATACAAAATATGGCCAACAGGTAAGAAGTCCTGTATATATTTGTAAACAACTTGCAAAATTGCATTTTAGCGTTTTTATGTCTTAAATGTGTAATAAAATGTTATTGCCAGAAGTAAGCACATACACGTAATAAAGATGTTGTTTTTTTTTGTTTGAAAATATTAGCGCTTTTACTACTCCATAATTTTAATGCGACAACTCTTTCAATATAACATTTATGAAATACGTGTTAAAATGAAATAAACTCTTATTATTTGTGTTAAAGTTTGAAGCTGTTTTGTAGAAACAGAAAAAAAAACTACTAAATTACGTGTGTGCTTAATTTTGAATTTTGATTAGGGGTTACTGTATTTTTTTGGGTGGATTCGTTTGGAAACATTTATCTAGAAAGTTATGATACAGAAACTGTTCAGTTGTTGAACTAGAGGTTGCATTTTTCCTCACACATCCTGCATAGATTTCCTAGAATCGGGTACCCACACGCGATAGTAATAACTACATGCATAGTAATTACATTAGTTCATAGGCATTGTGTTTAAATAACATTGAAAAACGAAAACGTTTAAATCTCTGATTGCTTGTTTTCGGTGAAACGAATCTTATTTAAACTTTTAGCAAGTTTATCAATTTTATTATACGCTTTACCTAAGTTTCATTCCGTTTTCCTGTAAAACAATAATAAAAACACCACGGGGTAAAACCGTAACGATTAGGGGGTAACAACAAGCAAAGCGCTTGCGCTTTTCATACCGCCTACAGTGTGTTTTAACTATCAGTCTACTGCAAGTCTCGCGTATTCGCTGCTGATATCAACATAAACGTTCCCTGACCCGTGTTATGTGTGAGCGGTTAAATACACGAGCGACTCCCCCACAAAGTTTCCACAAAAATAGAAAACGTACGTGATCGATTTAATTTGCGTTACCTTTATAGTTACCAGAGTGCGAAATTTGAGCATGTGATCCGCCGGCATAAAGTGATTTTTTTAATCGACTGTGTTATCCCCCGGAGATTTTTCTGCTCTTACGGAAATATGGTGTAGGGTGGTAGTGGTAGAATGATGGTGGAAAAAGTAGAAGGTTTTCTAATGTATCGGAAGCCAGTTTATAGGGTTTTTCAGTATCTTGAAACGTAAGTGTGCTATTAATACCTATTAATTTTGTAATGTATGCATTTGATTATTTAATAATGATTAAGTGATCTTGATCGCTTGCCTTGAGAATGATATTGAGTCGCTGCCAAATTGTCTTCTGCACATGTTGTTTGTCATATTTACGAAATAAATTCCGGAAAGTATTGAGGATTAGTTTTGCTCGGTTCGCTAAATCAGAAAATTTATATTTGAGTAAAACTCGCTTTGATTTTTTTTGATCAAAGTTTGTTTCTATTACCCACACCAAATGTTCCTAATCTAAATTTATCCGTTAGAAGACGAATTAAGTTGTATTGGAAACGATCAACGACGATTTATATTCAGTTGGTAAATTAACCATTTAACTTTCCATTGGCGGCGAGTTCGGGTTTAAAAAGGAGATAGTTTGATATCAAACGAACCTACCCCTCTTTGACGATTTTTCAAGTGTGATTAGACTTTGATTTGTGACGGTAGCCTAAACGGAAGCTCTGATGGAGTCATGTTTTTTAATCGTTTCTATTAATGAAGAAGACGATCAAGTAATAGATACTTCGGAGTTGTTAGGAGCAATTTGCACTCAACTAACGTATTCCTCTATGGTGGATAACACACAGATGTATTTTATGCAAAATTCCGGATGCCTTCTGTTGAAGTTTGATCGATATAATGCGGTGGCCGCAGTTCAAGATACAATCTATTTTATGGTGAATACCCAGTGCTTATTTACATATTGCAAGATAATACAAATATTGAAGCGACGATTCTCGACATGAACCAAAGTCTTATCGTTTCTAACCCTTGACAAGTCATAATACGTTTTTAAATGATGGGCTTTAAAACATGTCAACGCCTTAGTTTTCACACGTAATAAATCGTAAAAAGGGGGGACGTTTTACAACTGTGTCTATTACGTTCTGCCCCAGGGTTAACAGAAGACAGTTTTTCTAAGCTACTGATTTTGATTTTTTCCCTAACGTAAACTCGGGTTATTTA